GCCGAGGCCACGCAATCTGGAACCAATGCTAGATCCAGCACATGAAGCCAGTCATACATCAATACATCGATGTGCCAACCAGGCATGCACACCCAAGCATTATCACGACACCCGTGTTGTATGAAATCGGCTGTTGTCATTCGCGTGAGTTTGTAGTGGCACAAGCTCTACAATGCCATATCATGCTCCAACATATGCTGCTAGGGCACGTTTGCCGATGTGCAGCAGCCGGTCCGTGGTACGTGTAAAGATGTGGGGACGTGGGGTCTTTGCTTGCCTGGCGGGCATTCTGCGCCGAAATTTTCTGCAATCTCCCACCATTCCCCCTTGCGCCTGGCACACAAAGCAAACATTCGAGCTCGTCGCGGAATTGACGGTTGCATAGGCCTGTGGGTTCACGCACAGTATGATCTATATGCGTGCATGAGGCCACATGCAGTGGGCTCGGGCGCCTTCTGGATGTACTTTTCGTCTCCTTTGTGGATCGCTAATACACCTCGCCATCCTTCCGCGATAGGGCCCTTTCGCCCCCCTGCAAACGTACACACACACTCTCTCTCTCTCTCTCTCTCCCTCTCTCTCTTTCTCTCGCTCTCTCTCAAGACTCTCAACACAAGCTGAAGACATGTTGCGATTGAAGGGATTGCCCCAAGGGTCCACATCCAGCCAATGCCCTAGCATTAACTCCAGAAGAGACCACGCCACCCAAGCATCGAGGACCTTGTAGGCTTCGTCTCCAAGCTGATTGTTGTCTCCCACGTAGGCAACGAATTTGGAATCCCAGGGCGTAGCATGCACTAGGGCAGAACCCCAAGTGACAACCATAAACGATCGCCTCCGGTGGCATTCTGCATCGTCGCCGTGTATAACCAGGGGGATTGTGCGATCAAGGTTCATGTCCTAATAGCTGTGAACAAATAAACTTGGTCAAGCAGATATATAGAATACCTGGGCTGTAATGCAGTCTTGTGGCAGCCAGGTAAGGGTGCTCCCGGAACCAGGCGGTGTCTTTGTTGCGGCCCCAGAAGTCTTCGAGGGCCTGAGTTTGCTGGAAATAGACGATCGTCTAAAGTACATTGCACATAAACACCAAGCAACACCGTGTCCACCGAGAAGTAATTTGCGAAAGAGGGCTTCGTTGTAGGAGTAGAAACAAGCGAACCTCAATCTTTGCATGCATCAACCCCAAAAACCCCAAACCCTAAGCCCCACAAACTCCTTGCCACTGGGGATCGCTTCGCTCGGCAAGAACATGTGCCACTGACCCAGATAATGCTGGACCTCTCTCTTCGGGTCGACCTTGGCTTTTCTGTTTGACGCACCACATTCCCCTAGAGGTCCTGGCACCTGTCAGAGAGCACATATTGAGCATGCCACCAGTACCACTTGAACCCTGAGATGTCACGACGAAGCACAGGTCACAAAGAGCAAGTAATTCAGCCAACAGCACAGAAACGACTCAGATAAGCAGCTCCCATGGTTCAGGCAGCATTTGCCGCCACGACTGTCTCGACAGCCATCTCCAGAAGGTGCGGGACACATGCTTACCACTCGAGGCTTCTATCCGATCGGCCAGGTCACATAGGTTTTTCCTTAGCATGACATCCATAATCATAAGAGCCCCACATCTCTTCTTGAATTGCTGCATTGCACGGGAGCAGTTTTCGAGGGAATCGTCGATGGATAACTTGAAGCATTGCCACAATGGTAGACACACTGACCTTAGCTGTTCGTTCATTATGTAGCCACACCATGTCTGCATGATGAAACGAGCAATACATCATATGCAGACAGAATACATCTTTGCCCAATTCGAGGAACTCTTCCACCACGTCCATGTCATCATGAGCAAGCGATCACAAATTTAGCGAAGCTCGGTGATAGCCACTAGTTGTCTCCCAGGACCCAACTATTAGGGTTTAAAGGGTTGAGGGCTATAGGTTGAGATTTGGGGTGTACGGTTGGCTCGGGGTGTGGAGGTGAAAGGGTCGGGATTGTTGGGTGTTTATGGGCTACAGAAGTACGTGAGATCCTTGCAAGGATAGTCTTTTGGGTTTATATAAATAAGGACATACGCGTAGGGTGTTTAGCCCTTACAAGCTCACAACTGGAGCGCTCTGTGTGCGGGGATCGACCAGGGGAGTTGTGTTTTTCTTGTTTTCGAGACTACCAAAGACCTGCACACACTGCACACACATCAGATAGCATTGACGGGGCAGCCGGGGCACGTGTTGTGGATTCCTGTACCATGTGTCGACAAAAGTACTGCATCATCTAATGAGTACATTTTCTGCAGGGCAACTCCTCGTAGGTTGTCTTAACTTGTCAACCAGGCAATGTTGGCACTGCCATGAGTTGAACTTAGCGCAAAGCCGGCCAGCAGGTCAAATGTGGTGTAGAACACACTACCTAAAATATACAGCGTTCATGCACAGCTCTCACAGTAACGAGAAAACCAGGTATACGAGCCCCTTTTGCTAAATGACCCCTATACCTAGGCTAAAGAGTTATCCCTGGCAGCGTGCAGATGATTGCACATGTCATCGACCAAAAGACCGCCTTGCTAGATCCCTTCCGAACACTTGCGGGCTCGGTAGCTAAAAGCCACACTGTTGGAACAGCATCATTGGCTGGTACGGGGATGTTGATCAGCAGGTTAGCAGTGGCAGCGTTAAGCTCGAGTCTACAGTCTATTCCCACACACATCCCCATGCAGCTCACTAAGATGCCCACAAACAGCTGGCGACAGTAGTCCACAACCGGAGGATTGGCTTCGTCAATCCTCGAGATCTACGTCGCTGTGCTCCTCCTCGCTATGGTCGGCGCCTGCTTCAGCCTTTGCCTCAGTCTCGGCCTTCTTCTGCTTGGATTTCACCGAGTTGATGCGCCGCTGTGCATCCTTAACATCATGGTCCGCATCATGGAGAACCTCAGATGTCGTCTCGTTAATCCACTCTGTAAGCGCTTCGGCATCCTCGCACTTCTCCCCCTGTTTCTCTTGGCACAGCTTCAGAACGGATTCCACCCTGGGCTCGAGGTTTTCCAATGATTTCACCTCAGGGGACGGGTGGGACAGTGAAGTGCATTACAATATTTTCGATAAATACCCGGCCACTCTGCTAAGGCGGAAGCCAGCTCGCTGCTGTTACGGACCTTCAGCCCTTTCATCTCCAGGAGCTTCTGTGGAATAAGCTTCGTCAAGCTTGTCAGCCTTGAAGTTCAGAGGGCGTGCGGTTACAGAAAGGAGTGCTTCAAAGGTGTTTCTAGCGTTTTGGCAGGATCGGTGGTTTTACTTGTGATTGACTAAGGATGATCATCAGGCTTTCGGGGACCAGTGACCAACCAACACTCCCAACTACCCTGAAACTCAGCCGATATATAGTCCTCAGAAAGATCTATGAGAGCTTGTTCTGATCTACTAGGGCTAGGGGGTCTATAAAGTTATTCGGCGGGAAGCAATATATTATATAGACTTGAGTTACCCTTTCCCAAATACTCGACAATCGAACACCCAGCAGACGTAGCATGCAGCCGAGGCACTTTGTGCAAGCACTCTTCAGATCCTTCTCGGCTTGCTTCTCCGGGGTCAAGGGCTTCTTGACTTTCCTGGTGTATATAAATATCATGTAGCACAACTCGCTTCGATTGAGCAAGTCACTGGGTCATGAACAAGTAACAACGTCTATCGTCTGCAAAGCATCTTTCCCGAGATTCGCCCGGTCTTTCGATCCAGGAAGCCAACACTTTCCAAGTTGTTGGCAAACTCACCGAGTTGCTTGGCGAGGATTTTTTTCGCCGAAGCTTCGTTGACTCGCCCTCCAAGCTTCAACTTAGCTGCAGCTATATAGTCTATGGGTCCCCCATTAAATTGCTCCCAGCCGCAGGACAACAACAGCGTGCCAAGCATTGTGGACGAGACATTGCCAGGACTGGGCAGTGTAGCTGCAGATGAGCATCGGTGGACTCGCCCTTGGAAGCAGTAGTGTTCTCTTCCACCACTTCTCGCAAAACCTTGTACATCTTAGCTTTTGGATTGTCGGGCACCTCATGCAGTCCAGCTGAATGAAGCTTTTGCGTTCCTCATGACATGAGCAGCACACATAGCCCACCTGCGGGTGGGGCGTGCCCACCTGCCCTTAGGCCCAGCGAAGCAAGTCTATAGAATCCATGCACAGGCCCGCGAAGTTGGCAGTATTGCAGCCCAGCGTCCCTTTATGAGGGCTTCAATAAAAGCCTTCGCGTCAGCGCTTCTCCCATAGATCTTCTCCAATTGGAAAATCGTGACCTTCAGCAGCTTGCACATGCAAAGCACATGCTCAGAAGAAGCCATGCATATATGTGTGCATATACATACATGTAGTAACGATTGTTTAAATGGGATCACCGATAGCATGTAGACTCAGCAGCGTACGGTCACGTAGCAGTCAGTCCGCAGCTCGGTCACCCATCTTGAGTATTTTTCCTCCACTTCTATGGCGGCCACCCCTTGATTCACCAAGAACGATTTCAGCATCCCGAATCTGCAGGGACAGGTTGCAGGCCATCTACTGTGACATGTGTGCAGTGCACAAGTAGCACAAAGTCAAAGATTCCCGCCTCGACTCATCATCACACAATGAAAACTTGGCGGAGAGGGCCGGGTTGGCGCTCTTGAGGATGGCTCGTCTCAGGGCAGAATACTGCCTCTTCCTTTCATCCCGAGGAATCTCCTGAGGTATATGGGCTTTATTTGTGTGGTTTATTGTAGTTATGTATGCATGCTGGATCACTCACACACAACATGCTGGCCTGTGGGGAGGTCATCTGGCTAATGGCATCCTTGTCCTCTTGAGTCAACTCAGTGATCCTTTTTGTTTTCGGCGGGGCCTTCAGGGAGAATAAGAGTCGGGTGCTGGGTTCCTAGCGAACACGATCGGATCTTTGTGTGAGGCCTCGGGGCTGTTGCCAGTAGTGCTGCCCGGGGTTTCCCCAAACGACAAGCTCGGCAGTGTGTTCAAGCGCTGGCGCTTCTTTGCAGGAGTCGGTGTGTCGGCACCTTCATCACTGCCGAAGGTCAGGCACCTAGCTCGCAAAGCCGACGGGGGGCTAGGGTTGCTTGTGCCAGCTTCAGTCGTCGAAGTCCGGGGGCTTTCAGACAGATCCTCGGGTCAAAGGGAGAGCAGGAATACATTTGAAGATGCGGATATGGAGAATTAAGAGAGAAGGGAGCGGGCGAGGGCGAGTGAGAGAGAGAGAGAGAGAGAGAGAGAGAGAGTGAGAGAGAGAGAGAGACAGAGAGAGAGAAAGAGATTATAGGAGAGGAAAGATAAAGAGAAATGGAACTGCTGATATACATCATAGCTACCCCCAGAAACAAACACAACCCAATCTGCATGCTCAAAGCCCGTGCAATACCAGTACATCGCAAACAGAAGAAACACGGTGGCCTATGCCTGGCTACATGATGACGCATGCATAGCACCCCAGCCATAATATGGATGGACAACATGTGCACACACATGCGTGCATAATAAATAAATACAAATA